TGGGGTTGGGGCGGTAGAGCTGGGAGGCTGTTGGCATCAACCAAGGGGCTGAGCACAAAGAAGGTCTCCCTGGTGGAGATCTGGCCCTGCTTTTCGCATGCAGTGGGCATGCGGAGGCGTCCCCGGGGCTCTGCCCGCTTGAGTGGCTCAACTGGCTCTTGAGTGTTTTGTGCCTTGAACCAAAGCCCCAGATCTGCTTGCCTGCGCAGCCCCTCACCGGATTTTGGTGATTGGGGCCATTTTTAGCTTGCTTTTAGTTCCGTTCATAACCAGGGTTATCAGCTCACCAGGCAGGGACGCAATTTTGCACATCTCTAAGACCTGACAACACCCAGTGCAGCGGAACTGCCCTTCCCGTTGGCCATGGATGGGCCGTGGATGATCGTGTCCTTTCCAAACCATGTGCCCATGATGAGATGGCTGCAAAGTCACTTAAAAGAGGTGGTTGGAGAGGAAACATTCTCTGAATTATACATGTAGCTCCCTGAAAGGTCTCTTCCCTCTCCCTCTCCCTAAATATACCAACAATTAGGCTGAGATCAGAGCCACGCTCAGCAGTAGAGCAGTCTAAGGGCTTAGTACCTCATCCTCACCCCACCAGACCTTATGTCTGCCGGCAGAGCTCTCCCAGAGCTCTCCCTTAACCCAGTTTTGTCACCACGATCAACCTTATCTGACGTCTTCACCCCTGGGATTTTGCAGCACTTTGACAGAACCGGGTTAGGTCCGTGCCCTCGTGTTGGCACGTCAGAGAGATGCTAACGGGGAGGGAGCGCAGCAGGGAGTCTGTGACGGCCTAAAATCCACGTCTTCCCACCAGCATCTCCATCACCAAGAATAGACAACCACCCTCCCATCACCTGAATTTTGTTTTCAGAGGCCTCTTTTATCCCTGGTTGCACGTTGTGCATTTTGTGGTTGTGTTGCAGCTTCTTCTTGCGAGACGTACGAATACCCCCAGCACGGAGGAGGCAGCGCGGTGCAGTCCATCGAGTCGATGAACGACGGGTACAACTCCTACCTGGTGAGTTGGCCTTGGTGCTGGTGACCACGCTGTAGGCAGTGTTTGCACCTTAGAGATTCAGAGCCCAGGTGGGACCTCACAGCCCTGTCCTGCAGAGCTAAGTCAGGAAAAGACAGGGTTTATTACTGATTTCGGTTAAAACTGTGGTGGCCTGCAGGGGAGAGATGGAGGGACAACCACTTAGCCCAGCAGCTCATGCAGAGCTTTGCTTAGGTTCTTCTACAGAGTGTGTCTGCCTGGAGTTTTGACGCCAAAAAACTGCCTAGGAGTTTGGCTTCTCCAAAGCCTGGGACGCTGCTGAGCTGAGTTTTGACTTGCGGCCAGAACAGCCTCTTTTATGCACTTTCTAAGGTTTTCTGAGCTGGAAGTGACATTAAAGCAGCCTTTCATCTTGCATTTTAGTCATGGCCAGAGCCCAGGGAAAAATGACTTTCCAGGTTAAGCATGCTTCTGCAGCTCACTCTGGCCATGGGAAGAAGCTCAAGCCTAGGCAATTGAGACCTTTCCCTGCACTCAGGATGTCACGTCTTGCAAACCGTGGAGGTTCACCTCTTGGTGAAAACTGATGGCTGAGGAGGAGATGGACCATCTCTTCCCTCTGTGCTGAGATTTTAGAGCTGGTCCTACCTCATGCGTGTGCCCAGCGATGATGAGATGAAGGGTTTGTAGTGGGATGGGGCTGTTGCGAAGGGTCTGATGCTCACAGCACGTCCTCCCACTTGTACCCCCAGCAAGCCAAGGCGGCGGTGGCCCGCTCCCACAGCACCGACTCCGAGGACAACTATGTCCCCATGAACCCGGGTTCCTCGCCCCTGATCCACACTGAGAAAGCCAACGACAACGCCCAGAATCTCTACATCCCCATGAGCCCTGGACCGCATCACTTTGACCTGGTGGGGTTGTCCTCAGCCACCCTCCCCGTGCATAAAGGAGGAGCCATGGCCCAGTGCCACAGACGGTTGAGTGAAATCCAGCCCCCGCCAGTCAACCGCAACCTCAAACCTGACCGGAAAGGTAAGAACGGTTATTTGTGGGCACATCTTTCCAGGAACACTTCTATTCTTGTAATACTTTGGACTACAGCCGTCATCTCATGCACACTCAGTGAAGTTCTATGGGAGGTGGGCTTTGCTACCCCCAGCAGACCTTCAGATTTTCTCCATCCCCTTCCTCTTTGAGAACCGTAGTGCAGATGCAGCTTTCATGGGGCTTGAAGAGTCCATCTCCAGCCCTTGCTGGCCTTTGCAGGAGTTCCATGTCACAGGCAGGATCTCACCCCACTTGCATTCACCCCTCTCTACGCTCCACTCCAAAGCCTCTGGGTTGTCTTCAGATGACCAAAGTTTCTCTTACTTTTTCCTAGATCAGAGACCTGTCCAACCTGACCCTGAATGTTTCCAGAGATGGGACATCCACCACCCCTTTGGGCAACCTTGTCACCTAGTCCTGGTGTAAATGAGTGCAGGGATTTCACTTGGGGGTGTTTGTCACCAGCAGGGAGGGCTGGGGGGCTGATGAGCAGAAAGGGAAGCAGCCACCAATTTGTGGGGGACCCTCTCATGCCAGTCACAGGCTCTGAAGTGTAGGAACCTCTAAAAGTCTCTGAATAAAGGCTTTTCCTCTCCCCAGCAAAGCCATCGCCACTGGACCTGAGGAGCAACACTGTCATCGATGAGCTTCCCTTCAAATCCCCCGTCACGAAATCCTGGTCCAGGCCAACGTGAGTGATGGGGGGAGTTGAATTTGGGCTTCGCCCTGACAGCAGATCTCTGGTCCCGCTCTCACCAGTGTCCACACTGTCACCTCAGCCATGGACTGAACATCTCTGGATGAGTGGAAGGGAGATGTGATCCAACATTTGGCCTCTGCTCACTGCAGAGGGTTTTTTTTCTGCCTCACCATCTCTCTTTGTTGGATCGTGGGTTGTCTTGAATCAAGCTAGAATTGAGCCCAGATTTTGGATGCAGATCCAAATTTCCCCAAAAAGCTGTCCAATCCCTTGTGCTCTGTGTCAATTTTAGAAACAGGAGCTGTAAAGCTGGGTCATGCCATGCAAACGCTTGCACTGGGGTGAAAGTCCACCTTGCCCCACACTCTACCCCCATCAGGGACCAGCAGGAGCTCTCTAGGAAAGAGAGGCACTTATGGAGTAATTCTTTCCTAAAATATCCTGCCAGGCCATGGCGATTCAGAGCTTGGGGGTTTCCTTGATCAAATCATGGCCAGGCTTAGGACCCGGATCAGATGCCGATGAAGCAGAGGGGCTCCTGTCTTGGGCTCCTCATGAACATAGTCAAGTGTTGTAAGAGTCGTATTCCCCACATCACAGGACGATAAATTCGCTTGGGTGGGGACTTCACATGAAAGCCCAGCATGTGGCCGAGCAGCTAATTAAGATCCCTTGAAGGCATTTCCTATTTCTGGGATCTGACAGCTCCTGGAGAGCTGTGGCTCTAACACAGGACCTGTGGTTCACCGTGACTCACGGCCCAGCTGAGCCACCCCGACTCAGCCGCACTGGGGGCTCAGGGTGGGATTTCACATCCAGCTCTTCCCCAAAATCACAGGGTCTGACCAAGCTGTGTTTTGGTTGCCTTGAAAGCAAAGACTTAGCCTGAAGGAAGCCCGCAAAAAACAAAACCGAAGCGCTTCAGGGCGAAGTCTGACGGCCAAAAATAACAAGATTCACGTAGTTCCAGCTCTGCTGGTGATTCTTGCCCTGATGTTGTCCAACGAGAGGCAGAAGCGGAGCCTGGCTGCTGTGACGCCTGGGATAAATTGGATTGAGCAGAGACCGACTGCAAGGCATGAGTGCCGTGTCCCGAAATCACAGCACCAGCTTTGATTGACGAGACGCCCAACCCCGGGAGGAGCTAATGGATTTTTCCCTTATCAGCTGCTCACATGACCCTGCCTTCACTGCAAGGCAACAAACAGCTTTTTAAGACTCGAGCTTTAATGCCGGGCGCTGATTGCATTATGTTACTCCGTATAATTGGATCTGGTCAGCTGAAAGCAAGACAATGCCTCCGAGGTCTTTTTGTTTTCTGGCAAAAAAATTTGGTAGAGCCCTGCACAGTAAACAAATCCTGGAGCTGCAGTGAAGCTGCTGGTGAGAAGCTCTCCCGAGTCTGGCCCAGCATCTTCCAGAATTAAATATTTCCTGGGAGATAAAAGAGTTTGTGGAGCCTGATTTATGTAGCTGGTAGCTGTCTCAGCTGATAGCTGAGAGCTATGGGTACATAGCAAGGAAAGTGCTATTAAAAAGTCCTAGAAAGGAAAAAAATCAAGACCAAACCCAGTGATTTCTGAACCATGGACAGGTCAGGTTAGGAGAACCTCAATGCCCCAGCTCTTCTTCATGCCCAGGCCCCAGACCTAAACATGGTGATGTTCGGAGGCATCAGGTGCTGCCTACTCCCACCCCTCCTTGGCAAATGGACAAGCAGCCCCTGCAACCATCACAGAGTCACAGAATGATTGAGGTTGGAAAAGATCTCTAAATCATCTATTCCAACCGCCTACCCAACAATACTGTCACCACTAAACCATGTGCCCAAGTGCCACGTTTACACATTTTTTGACACCTCCAGGGATGGGGACTCCATCTCTGCCCTGGGCAGCCTGTTTTCCAATGCTTCCACTCTTTCAGTAAAGAAATTTTTCCTTATTTCCAATCTAAACCTCCCCTGGTGCAACTTGAGGCCGTTTCCTCTTGTCCTGTCATTAGGAACTTGGGAGAAGAGACCAGCACCCACCTCTCTTCAACCTCCTTTCAGGGAGTTGTAGAGGAGCAGTGAGATCTCTCCTCAGCCTCCTCTTCTCCAGACTAAACCACCCTGGCTCCCTTGGCCTCTCTTCACAATACTTGTTCTCTAGACCCCTCTCCAGCTTGGTTGCTCGTTGCTAAAGCATCGACCCTTCTCCTTACAGCCCGACCTTCAACGCCGGCTCTTTGCAATACTGTCGCCCCGTCTCCTCCCAGAGCATCACCAGCACTGACTCGGGAGACAGCGAGGAGAACTACGTGGCCATGGTAAGGAGACGTCTACAGTCCACATGTCAGGTCCTGGTAGGACGTGGACGTTCCCCACTTCTGCAAACACATTCCTGGCTTGTGACACAGAGCTGCTCCGGTAGCTCCACGTGGTGTAAATCCTTATGGACATCCCTCCAGGCACAAAACGATGGGTTTTGTCCCTAAAATGACACATCCCACTGATGTTTTAACTGTATATGAGATCAGGAGCATGTATCACCTGGAATTAAGACAGGATAAAAACATCTACCGCCTGTCACAGTCTATTTTCCTAATTTCAGTTGATTTTTTTCAGTGTGTTGTTTGTTGGGGTTTTTATTTTTCCCCCTGACGTCACGTTTGTGTGGAGGGCAGGGGCTATCGGAGCAGCCGCAGGGAGTGGTGCTGCTTACAGGGAGGGGATTTTTGTCTCTCTTGGCAAAGCTGTTGGCCTGAAGCATATTTTCGAGGCTGTGTAACTAAAGGGGTAGAGGAAAGCTGCGCTCTCCGTAGTGCGGGCGAGACTCCTGGACGTCCCAGAGCTGAGGCGTGGTTCCTGGGAAATGCCGAAGCCCACAGCTTATGTCAGGCATGTGAATAAAATCAGCACAGCAGAAATGCTCCGATACATGAAATTAAGAGTGTGAGCTTGAAGTATTTGTTAGCACAATCTATCTGATCCCCCAACAGCTCTGCAACCCCCGCTCAGAGGCAGGGGCGCAAATACGCAGGCTGGGACCTCTCTCAGAAGTGCCACCAAGGCATTTCGTTGCCAGATTTGTGTTAACTCCATTGTTTGTTTGTTTGTTTGTTTTTCCCTTCTTCCCATTTTAACCCTTGTTATCTCTCCTGTCTCTTCCCTGCATTAGCAAAACCCCATTTCTGCTTCTCCTGTTCCTAGTGGCACCAACAGCCCAGCGCCTAAAAAGAGTTTGGGGAGTGTGGATTATCTGGCCCTGGACTTCCAGCCAAGCTCGCCAGGGCCACACAGAAAGGTACGGAGCATTTTATAGACTTCTGATTAAATATGGTGCATTTTTAATTTTTTTTTTAATTCCACATTGGCAACGGCATGGTCTGAAGCCTTGGGCAGGGTTGGTGAGGGACACTCAGAGGTGCGACGTTTCTTGCAGGAAGGGTTAGCAGAAGTGCAGGGGTTCAGAGGTGCTGGTGAGAACAGAAATTCAGCTGAAGATTATCTATTCAAAAGTCGTCAGGAGGTACCCCAAGAAGTATCAGGAACTTTTTTTTCTCCTCCTGCAGAACAACACGTCCTTGGGTTTCCCACCTGAGATACTTGGAGGAGCTCATTCAGAAAACGCTGGGTGCCTGTCTCCTACCAGTTGGGTGCTTTTAGGGGGTGCCATTTGAGCAGGGAGAGTACAAAGTGCTTTCAGAAATCAAAGCTGATGTTTAAAAGCTGGATTATATTGATCAAACTATTGGCTGCCGAGAAAGAGCCATGAGGAGAAGATGGGTCGGGAATGGGATGTCTCAGCCAAGCTTCACATGGAAATACAGAAGGGGAAGCTCCTAAAGACCCAGATGTTGGTGACTTTTCTCCAGGTTCGCATGTGGGGGAAAACAAACGTCACCTTAAAGCGAATCGTAGGAGGACAGGGCAAGGAAGGACTTCAGGGTGTCCCCACAGCCAAAGGAAACTGTCTCTCCCTGAGGTGACAGAACGAGGCTTAAAAGTCTCCTGTGATGGAGCTTTCACAAACTCCCGAGCAAGGTCACGGACCAAGATGAAGAGGACACCCAGGGGTTACACGGTGGGCTGGGGAGGGACAAAAAGCAGGTCGTGGTGCGTGTCACCCCAAGCAAAGCAGCAGCTGAGCGAGGGGACGGTGAAGGACAAGGCATTGTCTAAACCTTTGTGGGAACCACCTGCGAGTTGGTCTCAACTTTCCCCACGTGTAGCCTGATCTAGTCGAGAGATGGCGTCCCTGGCGACAGGGAGGCTGGATTAAATGATCTCTTAAGATCCCTTCCAGCCTGGGCCCTTCTATGGCTCTATGATTCGCCTGGTTTCCAGGCAAAGCATCCCACTGGCCAGGTCTGCCCATTATTTGACGGTTGTCCCTTGATTGTTTCTTTCTGCCCAACAATATTTCTGCAGGAATTGCTGATTTAAATTATATCCCAACCTGGAAAGGTGATTTTATACCATTAAAACAAATCACCTGGCTCCAGCTGCAAGCAGCTGGGGGTCCTCTGATGCACTGACACTCTGTTGTAGTCAAAGTTCCAGGACTCAAGAAACTATGGAAAAAAGTATCTCCTTCTTCCTCAGCAGGTCTCCTGGGTGAACCTACCAACATAGCTGGTGTTTTGGGGATGAACACAATCTAGGTGTGTAGAGTCACCAGTGCTAAGACAGATGGAGCTGGGATTTTTAGGTGTGTCTGTGAGGGTTCTTGAGCTCTTCACAAGAAAACGAGCAAGATGCAACGTTGAATTTGCGACATGAGCAGTTAGATACCACGATCACCATCAAATGTTTGTGTCCCAGAGCTGGTGGGAAGGTAGAGACCCAGGTGCAGTTTCTACCCTCCCATTGCACAGCAGTCTCGTGTGAGCAGGATGTAGAGCAGAGTGAAAACCTTCCTCCAAGGGGAAGAGGTTAGAGGGAGGGTGATGAGCTGTGGAGCCTGCAAGGAAGTTGGGGAGGTGCTGGTGGGCTCGCGGTGCCCACGGTGCTGCCGGGGGAAGGGGCGAGAGGGAAGAGCAGGGAGCTGATGAGTGGTGGCCGTGTTTCTCCTCCCCGCAGCCCTCCACCTCGTCGGTCGCCTCGGACGAGAAGGTTGATTACGTGCAGGTGGACAAGGAGAAGACGCAGGCGCTGCAGAGCACCATGCAGGAGTGGACGGACGTGCGGCAGTCCTCGGAGCCCACCAAGAGCGCAAAGCAGTAGCGCCCAGGGAAGGTTTTCTGCAGCCAACTGCCCTTGGGCTGGGTTTCTAAGACTTGTCTGTGGAGGGGGTCTTCATTGTTTTCGTGGTGTTTTTTTTCTTTTAAGACAAAAGAAAACTTAATTTCAGGGGAAGACTTGGCGGATACTGTTTGCCAGTGACAAAGACCAACTGTGCTCGGCAGCTGGGTTTGCGCTTTAGCTGCTGGATGCAAGAACTTCGACTTAGCAATACCAGGTTTCACCCTACACGTCTCTTGCTTACAGCTATTAAAGCCACCTTGTATGTGCTAACACCGCGCCATCTCTCCCCGTCTTCTTCCATACCGGATCCCCAAACCATGCCAGGCAGGTTTGCAGCATCTCTCCTAGGACAGCTCTGATTCCCCACTCCTTATGGCTGCTCTCTTGTCTGCCTCCTCCCAAAACTGAGCAAGGACCTTTTGAAATCACTTTTGTTGTCCCATCCCTTGTAAATAATACGTTCAAAACGTCTGAGGGCTACCCTCCTCCTGGAGAGCCCCCACGTTTTCGGTTGTGGTTGTTAACCTTCAGGAGCTTGAAGAGCATCCAGGCCGCCCCACTGAACTGACTTAGAAGCCCAGGGCTTGCCCCATCGTGCACGCTCATGCAACAGCCAAATGCATTGGGGTGTCTTGTGCTGTTGATGCTCTTCAGCATCTCTCAAAGTCAACAGGCTGGAGAGATTGGCTTTGGATGGCAGAACTTAAGCCCTGGCCCACTGCCTATCTGAAACCAATTGCCTGTGAATCTGACCCTAAGAACCAAACTCTGCCCTTTGTGGCACCAGAAGAAGCCCATAGAGTGAGAGTATTGGATCTGTGGCTGTCATGGGAGGGTCTGTGGCTGAGTATGAGGGGTGCAGGGAGGCTCTGGAGACCTTCTATATCTGATATGGTACAAGAATGAGTGACGAGGAGGGAGTGGAGGCTGTTGTGAGGAGCAGGAGAAGGTGGGTGTTGTGCTGCAGACGTTGGTCTTGGGTGAGGAGGTCCAGTGGGGTGTGTCTTGGAGGAAAGGAGTAATTGAAATGTTCGTCGATGGCGAGGCCTGGAAAAAGGCTGGTGAAGAGTCAGAGCAAGGTGTTTCAAGATGAGCTTCATGGTCGGTTTGTGGTGTGGTCACAGTGTAGTCGTTCGGTAGCATTACTCTTGGGTGCAAAGGGTGCAAAGGGCTTGACGGATATTTTCTCCCCCATCTTCGCAATGTTTCTTCGAGGCAGGAATGGATCTTGTTGATGTTCACGTCCCTGGGCTCTAATTACGGGTGGGAATCTGCTGTTGCCCCTTGCCAGCATCCCTGACACATCCAGGCTTTGGGATTGCTCCCCGGGCAGAGAGCCAGGAGGGAAGAACCGGTTTATTGCAGAGATAATAACTCATGATCTCATGAAAACAGGAAGGACTCGCGATTGCCGTGGAGCAGCCTGGCTGCCAGACAGCAGGCGCTGACACGGAGAAGCAAGCCAACTGCTAACCAGGAGCCAAAAGAGGGAGACGGCTGAGAGATTAGCTAATAATATTTATTTTATTCAATAGCTGGAGCTGTTCTTTCTGCAGGTTGAACCTCTCCCAGTGCCACGAGCGCCGTGTCCGACTGAGTTGTGTTGATTTTTGATGCTCAAGCCTTAGCACATTTGTTTAAGCTTGGCTTGAGTTTGGAAAAGGCCAGACTCACAGGACAGCAATCCTGTCAGGGCTGTGTGCTGCTAAAAGAAGCGTTGAACATCCCACACCAGTTTGCATTTTCTCCTTGCGTGCCGTGAAAGGGAAGGGTGTTAATGGAAAAGCTCTGACAACCCTTACAAGACAGCGTTGGCCTTTTACAGGAAAAATGAAGCAACTATCCCAAGGCACATGGTAAAAATAATAATTGTCTAGGAGGGAAAAAAAAAAAGACAAGACCCAAAGGGGAAGATTTAGCACAGCCAGATGCTTTCTGAAGGTCGAGGAGTGTGTTACAGCCTGCGAGGGGCTCTCGCTGGAGGCCTGCACGGTGAGATAACGAAATGAAGACCAGAGCGCAGCGCTTCGTGTTTCTATAGCCCCTTTCATCCCCACATCTCTGGGGACACTCAATACTGGGCCTGGTCCAGAGCCCACTGGAGTCTGCATCCATCCCCATGGGACCTCCCCATCAAAAAGTCACATTTGAAGCAGATTTTTTTTTCCTATTGCATCCTCTAAAGCGTTGGGCAGACGTGAAGGAAGATGAGACTGGGGGAGAAGGGTTGCGGTGCACGCTGGATGCATTTCCCAGCCAAAATTGTGCTGTTCTTCTCCTCTCCCGCTACAACGCAGCCGCCTCTGGGGCGGATTACAGCAGCCCTTTTGGGAAAAGCTCTTTATGCTGCTTTGGGTCTCGGTGCAACTGTTCTCCAGGTGAAACTGAGCCCAGCTCCAGGCTGAAAAAAATCTTGAACTGGACCAAAAAGCCTGGAGAAATCAAGCCATAGCCCAGCTCAGATCGAGTCCTTTTTCTCCACCGAGGAGATGGGGAGCTCAACAAGTCCCCTGAAGGTGGGCAGGAGCCGGGGAGGCAGCAGAAGCTGTCGTTTCTGATAGGGCAGTGCTTAAGGGACAACACGGTCGCAGAATCATAAAATTGTTTTGGTTGGAAAAGACCTTTAAGACCGTCAAGTCCAAGTGTTAAGCCAGCACTACCAGGTCACCACTGCCCCGTGTCCCTGAGCCCCACATCTCCCCAGCTTTTAAATCCCTCTGGGGATGGGGACTCCACCCCTGCCCTGGGCAACCGAAGCCAGGGCTTGGCAACCCTTTGGGTGAAGAAATTTTTCCTTATGTCCAATCTAAACTGCTCCTGGTGCAACCTGAAGCCTTTTCGTCTCATCCCATCGCTTGCTACCTGGTAGAAGAGACTGACACTGGGATGCATTTTCCCATGTGCTGCAGATATATTAATTTTTTTTCCATGCTAAACACCAAGGAAAAGGCCCCTCCAGATGAAAGCAGCAGCCCATTGCCGTAGAGACATGACTATACCAACCTCTCCTGAGAGTAATCGATGGCTTCAGTGGATATAGTCATTCCTGACGGCTGCCGAGCTGATTACGATGATCCCCGATGATTAATGTTTTTGCAGCATTTAGTCTTAAACCATATTGAAAAGCAGCTGGTTTAATTACACGGGCTGCCAAGAACTTTGTCCTGAAGGCGCTGAGTTTATCACATCCCCTCTATACTTGGATGCTCAAGTATGACCGGGTCTTTTGTCAGAAAGAGGTATTTTAGGAAGCCGAAAACAGTGCAAATGATTAATTTTGATGGCAATTAAAATGGCTCGAGTCTTCACGTCAGAGCCTGCCCTTCAGCTCTACGGGCCCGTTCCAGAGGAGGGATGTGCCTGCGTGCGAGTGCGTGTGCTCATGGAGAAGGGTTGTCTGTAGGGCGAGCATCATGACCTCCACGTTTAGTTTCATGAAGCACCTGGACCATAGCTCAAAGCTCTGTCTGTGCTTAAAATGCTGGTGGTTTTAAAGGCACAAGTTTCCAAAAGCGTCTGTCCCTTGCTGTGACGTGTGACTGCTGCTCACGGTTCTCTGTCTGGTGAGCCGAATGAGCTGAACTGCTCCAAACTTTCATTTGAGTGTTCGGTGGGAAAACATTTCCAGCTCTAAATGGAGGCTTAGGCTCAGTCTCAAATTGGAGAAAGGAAAATACGTCGTGATTGTGCAGGTTGTGCTGGGGCAAAGCTGAGTGTGCAGCAGATCAGGCCAAATCTGGAGCTGGCTCCAGAAGGTAGCTAAGGCTTGAGTTGACTGGGGGCTAACTGGGATGGATTTGGACCCAGGGCCAGCAGACAAGGGTTATATATGGGGAAACACGAGGCTGGGAGGAGAGAAGGCAGGGGAGTTTGGCAGGAAGAGTTGAGTCCTTGTCCTCACTATGTGCTCCTCTGGCAGGAGTCATGATTTAGATATGTAGAGATTTTGGGGGGGTGAGGTGTGGTTTTGCTCAGTAACAGTTGGGAGGGGAGCTCCCAGCGCTCTCAGGACGTACCCAGGGCACCTCACTCTTGAGGGCATTGTCCTGCCTGACACGGTGATGCCTCAGCCTTCTGGCTTTCAGCAAGCTCTGGCCCATGCACTCAGCTCGAGGTGGGCAGGAGAAGCCCTACCAGAAATGCTGTGGGGACTCAGACATGCCGGGAGGCACCTCACCCTGGGGCTCCCGTGAGCTGGTCATGGGGCAGCAGGGCGAGGACTTCACAGGGTTATCCCATGAGGGGCCACCTCCATCTTCAGAGCTTTTCAAGACCAAGCTGGATCAGCCCCTGCTTGGAGCAGAAGGTAGGAATAGAGACATGTCTTCCCCCAAGTTTACGAGGAGACTGTGTGTTGCTGGGGCTCAGCAGAGAATCCTCCGTGTGAGGGAAGGGACCAAAGGTATCTCCTAGAGTCCTACCACATCCAAAACAGGGCCAGGGCGTCTTCTCTGGCCATGAAGCCAAGTGGCAAGGCGCAGCTCAACCCCTAAGGCCATAAAGTCACGTGGGACAGGGACACACAGTCCAAGCAGCTGTGGGACAGCTTGAATGTGTAAATTTGTTAGGATAGACATTGACCCAGAGCTCTCTGCAGCCCTACAGCCCAGCACCCCTCTCTCTTGAGCATACCAGGAAGAGTTGGCTCGTTTTGGCCAGATTGAGCACGGCATCTTGGGAGGGCAGAGTCATGCCCAGCTCTTACATGGTGGAGGACCTTGGTGAGAAGATGTTTAAGTAGCTCCCAGGTCCTGTCTGGTCTTCCTGGCCTAGGAGACAAGCAAGAAGAAGGTTTTCTCAAGTCATGCTTGCATTGCGCTGACATTTTCCCAGCTGGTGATGTTGCTATTCCACATGAAAACTGATGCTCGCCTGTGCTTGTGTGTCTGGATGAGATGGGTGCAGTGGGGCTGTGGCTATGGAGAAGCCCTGCATGTAATGGGAAGGACAAATAGCTGAGCTTAACCCCAACCCCAGCCAG